GTGATTCTGATGGTGCTCACTCACAGACGAGGCTCCCGCCTCAGACCTCCTCATGGGTGTGTGACTGCGTATCTGGATAATGACGATGGTGACGGTGGTGTTGTGACCAGGATGATGATGAGTGATGAATAGTACTTGTGAATGAGTGAGTGAGCCACTCCTGATCAGTGTGACTGTGAGTGAGTGAATGAGAGTGGTCGAGTGAGTATGAAGTGTGTAAGAAACGCTGATGATGTGATGATGATGGTGATGTGAGTGTGTGTGTGAGTGTGTGAGTGTGTGAAAGGGGTGTTCCTTCCATCCTGTTCCTGCGCAGGGTGTCTAGAGAAAATAAGAACCCCATTTTGGATGTGGCGAAAAGAAGGTACGAGCCCCGAGAGGGGGCACGTCAATGGAACAAATTCAATGGTTACCGGGGGATCAACAACAATTATATGTTAGAAACAACTGAACACGCATGATAAGTCCGCTCGCCCCTACCTGCTCGCGTGTTTTTCAAAACGTGTATATGTAGATGTGTATATATGTAAATATATACACATAAACTCTTATACACATATGTAAAAGAAAGAAAGAAAGAAAGAGAGAGAGAGAGGGGGGGGAAAAAAAACGTGATCCACCGCCGCTCTACTGTAGAAAACTCCTCCCCCTCTTCCTTCGGACCCCCCACCCCCCCTTCGAAAATTGCCCTTTCCCTGCTGGACCCCCCACCCCTTCCCCCCCGACCCCCCCCCTTTTTCTGGAAAACCGGGAAAGATCACTCCCGTTTCGAACCCCCCCATCGGAAAACGGGGTGGGTCACTACTAGTTCGAAACCCCCCCCTCCCTCCCCTTCCGGAAAACCGGAAGGGGTCACTACTGGTTGGACTTCCCCTTCCCCCCCTCCAGAAAACCGCGGGGGGTCACTACCGGTTCGAACCCCCCAACAACCCCCCCTCCCCGGAAAATCGGAGGGGGGTCACTACCGGTTCGAACACCCCCCCTCGCCCCCTCGAAGACTGGGGGGGGGGTCACTACCGGTTCGAACCCCCCCCCTCGCCGCTGGCCAACGACTCCAGGGGCCCCACCACCGTCGGCGCCACATCGCCCACTGCTGTCCCCAGCACCGCTGTCTGTCCCCACAGTTCCCACCACCGTCCCCACTGTCCCCATCAGTGCCCCCAACACTGTCGCACTGCCCCCACTGTCCCCACCACTGTTGCCACCACGGTCCCACTCTCCCCACATTCCCCACGGTCCCCACCACTGCCTCACTGTCGCCAATGTCCCCACTGTCCCACTGTCCAGCTGCCCCCGCCGCCGTCCCACTGAGCTGTCCCACTGTTCCCACCACTGTCCCCGCTGTCCCAAACACTGTTCCCACTGTACCTGTCCCACTGTCCCACCACCGTCCTCGCCACCGCCCTCAGCACTGTCTCCACCACCACTGTCCCCACCACTGTCCCACTGTCCCTACTGTCCCCGCCACCACCGTCCCCACCACTGTTCCACAGTCCCCACCACTGTCCCACCGCCCCCACCAGTGTCTCACTGTCCCCACTGTTGCCACCATTGTCCCACCACGGTCCCGCTCTCCCCACTTCCCCCACGGTCCCCAGCACTGTCCCACTTTCCCCATTGTTTCACTGTCCCCACTGTCCCCACCACTCGCCCACTGTCCACACTGTCCCCACCACTCTCCCGACTGTACTACTGTCCCACCACCGTCCTCACCACTTCCGTCCCCACCAGTGACCAGCAGTGTCCCCACCACTGTCCCAGTGTCCCCACCACATTCTCACTGTCTCCACACCGCTGTCCCCACCACAACCGTCCCCACCACTGTCCCACAGTCCCCACCACTCTCCCACTGTCCCCACTGTTCCCATCATTGTTCCCGTTGTGCCAACCAGTGCCCCCACCAGTATCTCACTGTCCCCACTCTCGCCACCATTGTCCCACCACGGTCCCACTCTCCCCCACTTCCCCCAGGGTCCCCACCACTGTCCCACTGTCTCCACTGTTTCCACCACCGTCCCACTGTCCCCACTGTCCCCGCCGCTGTCCCACTGTGCTGTCCAACTGTCCCCACTGTACCGCTCGCCCACTGTCCCCACTATCTCCACCACTCCCCACTGTACTACTCTCCCACCACCGTCCTCACCACCGCCTTCACCAGTGTCGTCACCACTACCGTCCCACTCACTGTCCCACTGTCCCCACCACTGTCCCGCTGTCCCCTCGCCACTGTCCCCACCACCACCGCCCCCACCACTGTCCGCACCACTGTCCCACTGTCCCCACACCACTGTCCCCACCACCACCGTCCCCACCACTGTCCCAATATCCCCACTACTGTCGATCTGTCCCGAGGTGCGGGAATCGTTTGCCGGCGGCGAGGGGGGGGGGTAGGAGGTTCGAACCCGTAATGACACTCCCCGGTTTTCGAAAGGGGGACGGGGGGGTGTTCGAACCGGTAGTGACCCCCCCCTTTTTCATGATGGACTTGGGGGGGGCTCGAACCGGTTGTGAACCCCTCCCCGGTTTTCGAGGGGGGTGGGGACGGTTTTCGAGGGGGGTGGGGACGGTTTGGGAGCCCCCAGTGACCCCCCCCAGTTTTCCGCCACCAGCGGTAGAACACGCCCTTTCATATATATATATATATATACATACATACATACATACATACATACATACATACATACATACATACACACATACATACATACATACATACATACATACATACATACATACATATATGTGTGTATGTGCACGCACAAACATACATACATACACATATGCGTATACAAATACCGATACATCAACATAAACATATACATAAACATAAACATATACGCATACAGATACATATACCTAAACACATACACATACATATACAAACACATATACATACACATCCACATACACATACATTCATTCCTACATACAGATACACATATATATATAGCCCAATGCCTCGGTACCCGCCCTCTGCGTTCTCGAACAATACATATCTTGTATGTGCCACACGCATTTACCGCAACCCCTAAAAAATGGAAGGGGGACGGACGGAAGGGGGAGGGAGGGAGAGAAGCATGGGGCACGAACGGACTTCGCGGGAGGGGGGCCGGGAGCAGAGAACGCGCGGCAAAACACAACAGGCACATCGGGCGAGCAGACCCAGCGGGCGGGTCGGGAGAGCGGATTAGGCGGCCAGGTCGAGCGGGTGGCTTGCTGTGAAAAGTCAGCAGGCGGCCAGGTCGAGCAGGTCGAGCATTGCGACCAGGTCGAGCAGGCGGCCAGGTCGAGCAGGTCGAGCAGGTCGGGCAGGAATTGTGAGAAAGTGTCGAACGATACTGCGAGTCGAAGTAAATCGTGAGAAAAGGCAAGAGCGAGAGCGTGATTTCTGAACGTCGAGGGCACGGCGTCTGAGCAACTTGTGGAAAAATAGCACGCGGGAACGCGATTCCTGCATACGTTGTGGGGAAGTCCCGCGTGAAGGCGCGATTAAAAAAATACAACGTGGAGGAATATCATGCGGGAGCCGTTGCCGTTTTAGTTCGGGGGTCAGGGGCCAGTTTGACCCTTGAGACTTTCGATACATGTTAATAATAAGCAAATGCGCGGGCCCCGGGAACGGCACTTCCATAGGAGAAAAAACATTGGGCGCCGAAGGGGGGATCAACCACAATTATTATTGAGAAGTGAGCGCTTCGCACTACCATCAACAACAATCATTGTAATACTGGTTGTTTCTATCTGCTGGCGCGTCATTCAACACGCATGACCCAAAGCCTGGGCGCCCGCCATCGTCGTCTTCGACCATACCCCCATTGGGGGGTTATCTTCCTCCCCTGCCACGAGTGATTGGGGAAGCCCTTAAACAGGAAAACGAAGGGGGCAGGGGAAAGAGAGAGGACGAAGATATCGGAGGAAGAAAAGGATGAGAGGGGCAAGGATGGAAGGACGACGATGAATTGCTCCGCGAGTCGATTCAGCTTGCGCCATGGCTTGCGCCAGCCATTCCAACGCAAGTCAACAATAAGCTTCGCCATGGGTCGCGCCAGAAATAGCGCCATGTACCAACCCCTTGGAATAACATATCATGGATACCCCCGCAGGGAGACGTACAGCGGCGAACTGGCGTGAGAAACAACATTCGTGGAAACCTGGGGACACGCTGGGAAGTGTTGGGACAGTGGAGCGGGGGGGGATAATGAGAAATGCAACCGCGCGAGGAGGTGCGCGGGGATGTGGAGTGGAGTGGGATGGAGCGGACAAGAGCAACGTCTCGGGAGGAGGAGCGGCAGGGACTTGAGAAGAGGAACCAGGAGCGCGGAGGAGCGGGGAGGGGCACAGAGAAACTGGAGGAGAGGGACCGATAAGAGGGCGGGAAAAGTGCGGAATGCGAGTGGAAGGGGTGGAGGTGATTGTGGTGGGATGGGGTGGCCTGGGGAAGAGCGGGAGGAAAGCAGGAAATTGAGGAAGAGCACAATCGAGTCGGAAAAGACATGACCACGAACACATGGGAAGGACTGCAGAAGACTTGGAAGGAACGTGGAGCGAACGCCGGGGGCGGGTGCATAGGAGCGGAGAGGCGTGCGGAAGCAAGTCGAGGGAGGAAGGTGGGAGTTACCCGGGGGCCCGCTTCCCTCAGGACCAGCTTCCCCTCCTCCTCCTTCTCCTCCTCCCCCTCCTCCTCCTCCCTCCTCCTCCTCCTCCTCCTCCTCCTCCTCCTCCTCCTCCTCCTCCTCCTCCTCCTCCTCCTCCTCCCCTCCTCCTCCTCCTCCTCCCTCCTCCTCCCTCCTCCTCCCTCCTCCTCCTCCTCCTCCTCCTCCTCCTCCTCCTCCTCCTCCTCCTCCTCCTCCTCCTCCTCCTCCTCCTCCTCGGCGATCCAGGGAGGAGCCGGCAGGCTGCCGAACGGGCCCCCCATCGCGGCCGAGGCCCCCCTCGGTGCCCGACCCTGCCGCCGGCAGAGCGCTGCGCCCGGCGAGCGGAGGGGGCGCGGCCGCGGGCGCCTCGCCGAAGACGTACACGTCCACGGGCGCCGTGAGCAGGAAGGCCAGCCCCCAGCAGTACTGGCAAGGGGGGGGAGAAGCGAGCGGGCCCGAGGGCTGGCGGCGCGCACCACATGAGGCCTCCTGGATGGGGTCCTCCTCCTCCTCCTCCTCCTCCTCCTCCTCCTCCTCCTCCTCCTCCTCCTCCCTCCTCCTCCTCCCTCCTCCTCCTCCTCCTCTCCTCTTCCTCCTCCTCCCTCCTCCTCCTCCACCTCCTCCTCCTCCTCCTCCTCCTCCTCCTCCTCCTTCGCCTCTTCCTCCTCCTCCTCCTCCTCCTCCTCCTCCTCCTGGATGGGGTCCGGGTGGATGGGGTCGAAGGATCGCGCCGCATCGCCGATGCATCGGCGATGCATCGGCGATGCATCGGCGATGCACTGGCGATGCACCGTCGACGTCGGCGATGCATCGGCGCCGTCGGCGTGGAGAACATCGGGCTCCACATCGAGCCGCATCGCCGATGCATCGACGATGCGGCGCGATCCTCCGGCCCCATCTACTCCGACCCAATCTAGGAGGCCTCGACACAAGGGGGTAGAGGGAGTGCGGAAGGCTGCTTAGAACAGTGTTGTTCCCATCGTACTTGAAGACCATATCCCATGAACAATTTCGAGCACCAAGAGAAGTAATTATCAAAATAGTGTCTGCCCGACACGCTGCCCAAGTGCCGAACGAACATCACCTCTCAGAGCCCGACACCTGAAAGCCCTTCAGTTTCGGTACTCTCTAGGTGCACAAATTTCTTCATGGACATCGAGGCTACAGTAGGGTGGAGCATCAGAAGCCTAGGAGGCTGCTTCTTCGAAGGCGCCAGCCCTATGTCTATAGACAAGGCCCGCACCTTCTAAGGAGCAGGGGTGCTCCCAAGAAGCCTTCCCCCTCTCCGCCTGCCCCCCTCTGCGTATGGCTAAGAGGATCCGAGTAGGGAGCTGGCTCGAGGTAAGACGAAGTCAGGACGAGGACAAATCGGGGTGATACATCGCGAGTATCTGAGATCCAGCGACTCAGGGGGATGTCTCGGGCGACGCGGCCTTCTCAGAGCGCTCCGGGACAGACGCATCCGCGTCCCAGCCCCGTCCGACGAGGGCCCGAGTGAGAAGCTGGCTGCGCAGTGGCGCCAGGCTGCCACGTAAACCTGCCCGAGGCCCTCCCGGCCACCTCCCTCCTGCGTGGCACCTCTGAACAGACCGATGCTGCAAAAGAGACGCCGTATGCTAACTGTCGCAGGCACCCGAGCTCCCAGCACCACCAGGCCCTCCCAAATCCCTCAGCTCGGCGCATGGGGCCCCCAACCTGGGAGCCCTATCGGCGGCGACGAGAAGGGCGAATAGCCCAGGGGCGGGCATGACACGTATTCGCCCGGGAGCCTCGCCGAAGACATCGATCCTCGGCGCCCCTGGATAAATGTATTGCTCCCCCCTGGGCTACTCGCCCCTATCGTCGCCTCTGAGCCATGGCAGGAGCCTGCGTGCTGCACACCCGGCGGGGCGGGGCGTCTGCAGGGCAGCCGCAGAGCCTCGCACGCCGCGCGCCGGCCCGGGTTCTCGCCCAGACCGCCGCAAGAATCCGGTGCTGAAATGGGGGACGACATAGAAGGAGCAAAACAAGAGACGACATAAGGGACACACAAAGGAATAAAAAACAACAACAAAACCGACATGTGAGGGACGACATACAAGGAACGAAAAAAAGGCCCCCAAAGCGCCTGCATGCACGAGGAGGGCAAGAGGAGCAGCCGCGGAAGGACCTCAGGAACATCGAGCCCCTTCCAGACCCGAACTGTTCCCGATTTCAGTGCCTTCACTATACGCGTCTTCACCACAGCCCGACCACATACACGAAATCACTATGTCAACGCGAGCGGGAGCACCCTCCCAAAGCTCGAGTAGGGGTCCTCCTTGCAGGCAAACCACAAGTAGCGCTGCGTGGCAGTTCCACAAATGGAGAAGCCCTGAGCGACAACGGCGAGGAAGATCATCGCCTTCACGGTGCCCTGACAGGCGCTTGACGTAGGAGCACTACAACCCACGTGCACGACAGGACTTCTGAGCATCGTTTATCCGATCCCCATCCCCACCAGCGTGGGCTGGGCCCCACTGGCCGATTTACCCCCCTGGATGGGGATATAGGCTGCTCTCTTCGGGTTTCGAAGGGCATATCCCCAACTGAGGTGGTGAGACGGTGGGGCTCGAGATGTGGATGGGGATGGGGATAGGGATGGGTTTAACGATTCTGCATTTCCGCACCAAATTAGCAAGTACCATGATGGGTTTAACGATACTGCATTCCCGCATCTGCATTAACGATACCACAAGTAGCAACAAAGCGGACGAGAGCGCGCAAACGCACTAGCAGGAGCGGAAAGGGAGCTGCCTCGGCTCAACGACCCTCTGCAAACATACCCAACATCATCCACGCGCACATACTAACATCTTACCAACGCGAACGTCGGGCGCATGCGCAACAATTCGCTTACGTCATGCACGCATAAAACCGACACGCCAAGAATGCATGTTGGAACCATCAGAGGCAACGCATGGGACGCATGATCGCCGGCGTTGCCTGCGTGAGGAAGTGCCACGAGAAATTACCTGCCCGCACTGGGGCGAATTGGCGGCGCACACAAGGGGGCAGGGGAAGGAGGGAAGGCTTCTTAGAAGGAGGCTGCTTCTTAGAAGGGATGGCGCCAGCTTTACATCTATAGATAAGGCCCGCACCTTCCAAGAAACGCAATTGCTTCTAAGAAGCCTTCCCCCCTCCCCAATACCCCACTTCTGCGCGTGCCCGGGCGAAAACAACATACAAGATGGACACTAACAAGACACGGCTCACGCAAAGCTGGCGACGACCAACGGGAGGCCTTCGAGAAAGGCACAGGGGGGGGGCAGGGGAGCTTCTTGAACGGACCGGTTTTCCGCCCTGTAATCGTCGGTCGGAAGAAGTGGGTACCAGGCAGCTGGATGGTTTTTCAACACGTCAACCTGCATCCTCTAGAGGACGGGATGAGGGAGGGGGGAGGGAAGATGCCCCATGAATCCCACCAGGCAATGGGCGTAATTGAATAGGGATCCTGTTCTTCCAAGCCCATTCTTCCACTTCCAGGGGGGGGTCACCCCTTCCCCTGCCCCCCGTCACAACAATCCCCAGCCGCCCCGGCCCCCAGCCTAACCATGCAAATAGGGTGCTTGAGTGACTTTGAGGACAGGTCTGGTGTCGTTCTAAAACTTGTTGGAGGCCTCTGCTGGGGCGCCTCTTTGGGGCCTCTCGAAGGCCTCTTGGGGGCTTGGAGACTTCTTGAGGACCCTGGAGGAAACCCCGAGGCATCTGGGGGCTTACTGGGCCAGTGCTGACAACTCCAACTGCGACCGCGTTACAATTTGGTGGGTTTGGGGGGGGCTCTTGGAGTCACCTCGGAGGGATCCGAGCAGTCATGGGGCTATCTTGGCTCTCTTTGGGCCCTTTTGTGACGACGGGGGTCAATATTCGGGGTCGTCTTGGGGTCCTGAGGTCGCGGGGTACAGCATATGTTGTGCAATGTGTGTGGTGCAGTCTACGCAATCCATGCGGCGCGACCGACGTGGTGCAATATGTGTGGCCGACAACTGTGATTGCACCTAGGCGTTTATACTTTTTGCTGTTCTGGCGGTGCCGTGGTCGCCGTGGCCACCCCGTCGCTGCCTCGTCGCCGCCCGTCGCCTGGGCCTGGCTGCCGCTCTGGCAGCTCCATGGTCGCCGTCGCCACCGCCGCCTCGCCGACGCCGGTCGGATGGGCCTAGGTGCCGGCTTGGCGGCTCTGTGGCCGCCGTCGCCGCCCCGTCGCCGCTTAGGTTTTCTTGCTTTTTCTTCGAAAAATATTAGTATACCACCACCGCCCCTGGACTTGTCGGTCCACCCTGGGGATGTGCAATTTACATTCGATTATGGCCCATAGTTCGTTCTGTTCGCTCGAACTCACATCGTCCAAACCGAACCAAATTCAATATCCCCCCAATCATCCTCGACAAATAGAACTATGCGCGAACACTCGCGTATCAAAAGCCCACTTGCGAGAATCAGTCTCCTAAGCAAAAAAGGGGGGCAATCCACACGCGCGCGTCGTCGCGCGCGCATGCCAAAATCCACATAAAAACCAAGCTGGTTCTGCAAAGATGGCAAAACCGAAAGTCCCAGAAGCATATACATGCACTCGTTCTGCAACATGGGTTTCGAAAGCTTACCATCTGCGCGCGGGCTCTTGTGAATTCGTAGCCTCTTCGCCCTTTTCATGAAATGCGGCCCAGATGGCCTCTCGCACGCGCATGTCGAAATCATTCGCAGACCTTTCTCTGCGCGCGTGCTGGGGGGCACGATCCCTACCAAATCACCTGACGCGGGCCACTGCGCCCTCCAGCCGCATGTCGAAATCCTTCCACAACCTTTACCATTGACACGTGGACACCATCATCGTCACCAGCGTGCTTAATTGACATCAGCACCGTCATTGGACTTGCCGTTTTGGTCGTGGCCATCGTCATCAGCATTGCCACTATCAGCAGCCTGTCTGGCGTTGCCGAAATCGCCATGGTACCGCGCCCGCCCGAGCTACCGACCCGCACTGGCGCACCCGCGCGTCAGCGCGGCCTGCGAGGCGTGCTTGGAAGTCCACCGCGGTCAGCGCCACCGCGGCCGCGTCGGTCGGGCCAGACCAGCTGGCCTCTGTGCGTGCGAGCTTGCGCGCTAGCGCGGCCGCAGCGATGCGCCACCCAGCGCCAAGCAACCATCGCAATTCGCATTTGCCGCCGTATGGGTTGTGCAAACCCAGTTGCGGGCGGGTGGATGGGATGATTGCGCGAGCAGTGAAATTGACAAATTCAGGTTCGGCAGGGGCAATTGCACCACGTAGTTGGGTTGCACCACCTATATATATATATACATATATATATATGCATATTGCACAAAATTGATTGCTCAGCATATATTGCATCACATAGACGGCACCGCACCAAGTTGCACCGCATATGTTGAACAACCCAGATTGCACAATGATAGCCGGCGTGGACCCACACCCATACTTGTTAGCAATATATGCTGTGCCATATGTTTGGTACAATCCGTGCTGTGCACTCGATGCGGTGCAACTTATGTTGTCCGATCTACGTGCTGCAATATATATATATATATATATATATACACACACCTATAAAGAGAGAGTGTGTGAGTGCGTGCAGTGTATGCAAAAATGCGGTGCAACTTATGTTGTGCAAGATATGTGGTGCAATAGGTGTGGAGCAGTCGGAGACGGGAGGGGTCCGATTGGGAACGCGCGTCTAAGCGAAGGAGCACACGAGGAGGACAATCAGCAGGACAAGTGGGAGAGGAGGCGGATGCTGGGCATCATGACATCGAGCCACACCACTCGGCGGCACGCCAAGGGGAAAATGAGAAGGGGCAAGTCAGAAGGCGGTGGGGCTTCTGCGAAGCCACCCGGCCTTCTGAGAAACCGTCTCTGCCCTTGGGAAACGTCTCAGAAGGCCAGAGGCCTTCCGAGTACTCTGAAAAGGCCCGCCCCCTCTGACTGTCCTCCGTGGGCTTGCCGCCGAAGTACATCTAGAAGTCTTGAGCGCTCGTCAATTATAGAGCGCCTGTGGACCATCCATCGCCAAGTGCACTTCGCAGTCTGCCAGGTGCGGGGAGGGGGGGCAGGAGGGGAAGAGGGAATCTGGAACGGGGAAGCGGAGGGGAGGCGGAGGAAGGGGTGTTGGGGGGGGGGGGGGGGCAGAAGGGGAAGAGGGGGTTGGGCGACGAGGATGGGCGCCGTCGGACAGGGAGGACGAGCCTTCCATGCGGGTGCTCTGCAGCGAGCTCCGATCGCGCAGCTGTCATCCACAGAACAATGCATCCGACCGCATCTGCACGTCGAAGCCGTTTGGCAGGGCCCTTCCCGAGAGGACCTCCCAGGAGCAGCACGAGCGACGACAAGAAACGGACCTTGCGCGAGATGACAGCGACAAGAAGCGCATCTTGCGCGAGATGACATACCGACATTACGCGGTGGCGTACGCTGCCGCGCGTTCCCATGGAAGTGAGAAACCGCTGAGGAGCCCCCCCCGAGGCCAGGATCTGATGGGCCGTACTTGGCCCGAAAGATCTCGTTCTCGCAATACAGCAAGCCCGTCGCCACCTGCGCAACCAAGCAGAGCTCCGCTATGACGGTCAGGCCCCTCGAGACCAAAATACCTTCGCCCGCTTAGCCCCTGCTAGCTGCTCCCTCTGATCGATCAGGCCGCAGGCAAAACGAACACTTCAATCCACCAGCGTCCCCCTGGCACGAGGAGGCGTGGTCGAGTGCTATGCTGTCTGGTAGGGCTTCTGAAAATCGTAGGCCTTCCCTCCCTCCATGTGCAGCCTACACTCCCACAGCGCTCGGAAAAAGTTCCGAGCGCATGTCGCCCAAGGCACTCCCGCAGCTTGGCGTGGTCGCCGTCTTCCTGCAAATGACTCCGCACGGGTGCTAGAAGCAGTCTCAGTCGTTGCCGATGCGCCGTCAGGGCGCGGCTTTCTTCGGGAGCGGCCAAGAGGGGGGTGTCCAAGAGGGGTGCAAATCATGGCCGGCGGCATGTGCGCGGTCCGGCGGGGGGGCCGGGACCGTATTGAAATAAGAAGAGGCGCCATGAAGTCTGGGGAAATATCATGCCCCCCGCCATGATGTCCACCCCCCCTAGTCATCACCCCCCTCGTTTCCGCCCCCGATTTCTTCGTCTTCCCTCGCATCACGCTCCCTCGCGGTGCATCGCCACCTGCCCCCATCTCCCGAGGCTCCTGGGCGGCGCGACGCCGCCCCGCGGCTCTGCAACAGCTCCACCGAGGCTTTCAGGACGGGCCAGGAAACTCTGTAAGAACGGTTTTTTGAAGGCAGATCTGCCTTCAAAAAATTCTTTTTTGAAGGCAGATCTGCCTTCAAAAAACCGTTCTTACCAAGGCCGCCGAGATGGCCGAGCACTGCCTCAAGAGTCACCCAGCAGCCCCCGAGGAGACCCCACCGAGGCGCCAGAGCGGCGCGGACAGGCTTCCAAGAAGGGGAAAGCCAAGAGGCCAAAATCACGTACACTGTTGAAGGGGAACTGGGACACACAAATAAAAAGGTTCCCCATATTTTCCCATATTGTCTGGGTTTCTGCCTTCCCCCCCACTTCCCATATTTTCCCATATTTTCTGGGGGATCGACGATTAATTGTGTCTGTGTGTTTTTTCTCCTCCTGAATTGTTGCGGTTCCCCCCGCTCAGCTCAAGATGTGCTTCCAAGAGGGACGCTGAGGAGACAACATGATGCCAGAAGAACCTACAATCGTGGGCCGAGAAGGCTTCCCAGACGGCCCAGGACAGCCCCAAGGGGTCCCCAAGCCGGCCCAAGAAAGGTCAAGGACAGCCCCAGATTTCGCGCTCTGGCTCAGGCCCCGGGCCTTCAGAGGTCGGCCCGTGCTGCAGAGACTGGGTCGTCGGACACGCTCCGCGCGAGGCAGTCGCAGTACCTGCGCCCATGGGGTCGCGGTCGAACTATCGATTCTGGATTCGCGAGTGTATGGATGTGGATGCGGCAAGCACGTGTCGTGTGAACCTCGGCAGTGGTTTCTGATGCCGCGTGGATCGTTCAACTTGAACGATCGGCTGTTTTCCAATCGCAGAATCTCGGCGGCGAGCGAGGGGGGGAAATGAGAAGGATAAGGCCTCCTCAGAAGGCGGCGGGACTTATCAGAAGCCCCCGCGCCTCCTGAGAGGTTTTTTTCTGTTTTCGGGAGAGGCTTAGAAAACTTCTCAGAAGGCCGTGGGACTTCCGAGACTTCTGACACGGCCTTCTCCTTCTCATTTCCCCCTTCGCTCGCCGCCGAGAATCGTTCCATATTGGACGGCTGCCCCAAGAGGCCCCCGAGAGGTGCCAACCCAGAGAGGCCCGAGACGGCCCAGGAGGGCGGCAAGACGGCTCAAGAGGCCACCAATACGGTCCAAAAGGGCCCCAGGATGACCCCGGAGAGGGATCCAAGAGGGCCGCACGACGGTCCCACAGGAGCCCAAGGCAGCCCAAAGATTGCCAAGGTAGGCTTCATGAGAGCCCCTCAAAAATATGGGCGAAGGGTGTCACATGCTATGGCCTTCCGGCCGTCGCCACACAGAATCATGTAATGGCACGGTAGAAGAACTGGCAGCAGGAGGAGCAATCCTACGACTGTGCGAAGGTGGCAGCAGCTTGGCCATACTGCTTGGCAGCCCATGAGTCACAAGGATGTATCTGGCACACAGGCACACCACCAAATTATGATGAAACGCTCCGAAAACAAAAAACGACTCCAATCCTATCTGAAACCAGCAACAGAGTCCATCCAGTGTGTGCAAACTTGGCCGTTCAAAAGAACGTATCCAGTCTTGAGCATTCGTCCACCACAGAGTAGAGCAAAGCCACACGGGCTGTCGCAAGCGTCGCCTATAAATCAAACGCACTGTTCACGTTGCTGTTCCAATATTCCATGAGCAGAAATCGGAGTCACGTGCTCCTTACTCGCCACGCGCAATCGCAGAACTCCTGACCATCAAGAGAAAGGATTCGCCTTGGCATCAAGTGGTACGCTGAGACCATGCAAACATGCGCCAGAGAAGTCTGCTCTGACGGATTGCGAATGGTCGAGGTACCGGTGCTGTGCATGAAGGCGGTAGGAGGTCGTCTGGCACACGAGGTGGTGCAGCGACCACGTCAGAAGAAAGGGCCATGCTGAACACGCAATGCTATGTTACGATGTGCTATGCTGTGCTATAACGTCACTCGCGGCGCCGAGACCTATGGCGAAACCACATGCCAAACTATGCTGCGTGGCACTGTGATGTGCCATGCTATGTGGTGCTGCGATGGCTCAAGAAGGGAACGGGCTCGGGTAAGTCGGATGACGTGACGTCCGGTGGAGTGGAGGAGGGGCTTCGCTGTCCGAGAAAGGAGCTATGAGTCTTCTGAAACATGGTTCGAATGTTGGCACAGATCGGAGGAGGGCAAATTAAAATTGACCTGGCGAAGAACCCAACCATCAGCAGCTGTGGGCACCGCAGTCGTGAGTATCATCTTCGGTGGAGCTCCTTCCTGATGGGGGCACGGAACGTTGGAGGGCTGTGCCGAAATGGGCGTGGCGGACGCATGTGGACGGTGGCACTGGGGCCTTCGGTGGAGCTCTCTATGGGGCCACGAAACGTGTGAGGGGTTGTGGAGGACGCATGTGGACGGTGCCACTGGGGCATTGAGTGGAGCTCCTTATGGGGTCACGAAACGTGCGAGCGGTGTACCACAATGGGTGTGGCGGACGCATGTGGACGGTGGCACTGGGGCCTGCGGAGGAGCCCCCTTATGGGGCCACGAAGCGTGTGAGGGGTGTGCCAAAATTGGTGTGGCGGACGCATGTGGACGGTGGCACTAGGGCCTTCAGTAGAACTCCTGGGGCCTTCAGTAGAACTCCCTATGGGATCGCGAAGCGTGTGAGGGGTGTGCCAAAATTGGTGTGGCGGACGCATGTGGACGGCGCCCCTGGGGCCTTGACTGAAGCTCCCTTATGGGGACACGAAGCGTGTGAGGGATATACCGAAATTGGTGTGGCGGACGCACGTGGGCGGTGGCACTGGGGCCTTGGGTGGATCTCCCTATGGGATCACGAAACGTGTGAGGGGTGTACCAACATGGGTGTGCGGACGCACGTGGACGGTGGCACTGGGGCCTTCAGTGGAGCTCCATACGGGGCCACGAAGCGTGTGAGGGGTGTGCCAAAATTGTTGGACACGGACGCATGTGGGCGGTGGCAATGGGGCCTTCAGTAGAACTCCCTATGGAATCACGAAACGTGTGATGGGTGTACCAACATGGGTGTGGCGGACGCATGTGGACGGTGGCACTGGGGCCTTCGGTGGAGATCCCTATGGGGCCACGAAGCGTGTGAGGGGTGTGCCAAAATGGGTGGACACGCGGAGAGCAGAGGCAAAGAGGGGAAGGAGGGAGGAGGGAACGGAGGAGGAGAGGAGAGGAACGCGGGGCGCTTTCTCTTCAAAACGAGGGCCCAACACCACAGGATGGTGGGGAAGAACGGCAACTCTCCCGTCCAAACCAAGTCGGCTCACAAACTGTCCTCAAGCTTATCCCAGGGTTCAGCCTGACCCGCCTGTCGAGGCTTAGATCGGGCATGTCCTCCTACAGGCGGAATTTGGAGGACAAATAACACATAGTCAAAATGTGTTCAAACACAGTCGAACATAGTCGAAAACTCGTGTCCTGCATATCCTTGTAATTATGTTTGAGCATTCCTCCTGTAGAGGGACATGCCCGACTTAACTCGAGGCGGGTCCAACCGTGGCGCCGAAAGTTCTCCAGGAGGCCCCGAAGAGACGAAAAAACACGCCAGGCAGGGCCGCCGCTGTCTCGACGGGGCCTCCTCCGGGAAGCCACCCGACAGAGATCGCTGGCCCGCTCTCGGTCCTCGCCACCCGGAGGAAGAGGAGGCTCGGCAGGACGAGGGGGAGGGAACGAGGGGACGGAGGAGGAGGGGGAGGGGGAGGCGGAGGAGGAGGAGGAGGAGGAGGAGGAGGAGGAGAGGAGGAGGAGGAGGATGAGGAGAGAGGAGGGAGGAGGAGAAGGAGGAGGAGGAGAGGAGCAAGGAGGAGGAGGAGGAGGAGGAAGGAGGAGGAGGGAAGAGCAGAACGAGGAAGGAGGAGGAGAAGGCGGAGAAGAGGAGGAAGAGGAGGAAGAGGAGGAGGAGGGAGGAGGAGGAGGGGGGGGGAGGAGGAGGGGGAGGAGGAGAAAGAGGAGGAGGAGGAGGAGGGGAAGAAGGGGGAGGAGGTGCAGGAGGAGGGGGCCCTGCCCCTCGGAGCACCGAAGGGCGCCCCTCGGAACGGCAGATCAGCGCCCAGACTGCATCGCGTCGGTTTGTCGCCGTGGGGCCAGGGAGCGCTGCGTCAGAGGAGGAGGTAGCTTTGGGTCGGGCATGTCCCTCTACAGGGGGATTGCGCGAAAAAATAAAAATACATTTTTTTTTTTTTTTACCAAATGTTCAAACATACTCCAAGAATCATCCCCCGACCATGTTTTTACAATGCCTGAGTACTCCTCATGTGCAGGGACAGGCCCGACTTAAACGTAGCGCCGCCGCTGCGCGTCCCCCGTCTTGGGCACGCTGTCGGGCCGCACGCGCGCGATTCTCGAGCCCGCGATCCTCCGTCCTCTTCCTCCTCGAGCAGACGATATTCGAGCCCTCGATATGGTTCGTGATGGGTGGCCCGACACGAGCGAAGACATCGACCCCCCAGCGCGACGCGAAACATCTTCCCTTCCCTCCCTCGCCCGCGTTCCGCTTCTCCGGCTTCTCCCCCATCCTCCCGCTCGAAACCCTCTTCCCCATCCTGCTCCTGCTCCTGCTCCGCCTCCTCCTCCTCCTCCTCCTCCTCCTCCTCTTCCTCCTCCCCCTCCCCCTCCCCCTCCCCCCTCCCCCTCCCCCCCCCCTCCCCCTCCCCCCTCCCCCATGACCGTCCGTCGCGCCGTCCCAGCGCCGTCCGTCCGTCGCTTCGTCCGCCGCTCCGCCCAAGTACCGCCCGTCCGCCGCTCCTCGCAGCGGCCCATGAACCCGTTGAGGGCCAACGCCACGACCACGCAGGTCGTTGCGAGCGCCTGGTCCTCCTCTGAAAGAGGCGGAGACCCAGGAGGGTGCTTCTCGCTCAGGCGCGTGTCGGGCGGCCGCGACTGGGGGCGCGGCCTTTCCTTCGGCGGGGGGGGGGGGGGGGGGAGTCGCTGTGGGGAGAAGGGGTGTGATGGGGCGGATGGGGCCTGTCCCCGGGAGCGCACCTGGGCCCGCTCGCGGGCCCACGGGTGCCCGACAAGGGTCCGTCAGGGCCCGCCCGCGTCCTCCAGGGCAGCTTCGGCCCCCATCAGAAAGACCGCGTGCCTCAGGCCGTGGAACGTCGTCCTGGCCGCCTCCAGGCGCGCGGCCACGGTCGGCAACTTCTCCTGGGCGGGTGGTGGAGGGGGGGGGAGGGGCGGGCAAGCTAGGTTCGCGCGCCTGCGTCTGATGCCAGTAGTGGCGCCGCCGTGCGCGGCGCAGCGCGGCGGTCTCTCGGGCCGCGCGCCGAACGACACTTCGCTCGGAGCGGGCGCCTTACCACGCAGACGCAGACGAGCCCCGCACACGCGCGCGCGCACGGCACGGCACCGCACGGCACAGCACGGCGCGACTCGAGACGGGGCGTCGCGGGACGGCGCGCGCGCACGACACGGCACGGCGCAACGCGGCATGCGGCGCGACATGGCACTGGCCACAGCACGGGCCCTCGCGCGCGCCGCCATATTGGATAAGAGCGGAAGGAGCGGTGGGGGGGGGGCGAAGGGTGCGCGGCGTCCTCCCTCTCCGCGGCCCTGAGGAAGGACTGGAAGTACCGCGAGGTCTTGGCCTTCTCCAAGGCCGCCGCGTCCTCGCACGGCGGCGGGGGGGGGGGGGGCGGAGGCGCGGGGGGGCGGCGACGGCGCGGCCGCGGACGGCGACGGCGGCGGCACTGCTGCTGCCGCCGCCGACGACGACGGTGACGCCGACGACGGGGCGACGCCGACGCCTTGGCGGACAAAGGAAGGGGGGGGGAAGGGCCCCTTCCACCCCCGCGCCCACGCCCCACGGCCCAGGTGGTGTTTGTCGCCGAGCGACGTGGCCACCGCCTGGAGGCAGGTCTTGAGCCCCAGGGCCACGGGGTCCGCGGGGCGCTCGACCGCCTCTCGGATCGGTGGCGTCGCGCCGTTCGCTCGGCCGCTGTCGTCGTCGTCGTCGTCGTCGCCGTCGCCGTCGTCGCTCGTGGTTGCCCGCGGTCGTCCCGCCTGGCGGCCCACAGCTTCCATGTGGAAGCTGAAGAGCCCGCGGAAGGCGACGTCCAGCCCCTGCACCCACGAGGGGGAGACCTTGACGATCTCCTCCTGGGGATGGATCGCCGTCCGTCGTCCCACCGCGCGCCTCCCCGCCGCCCCTGCCCCCGCCCTCCGCGCGGCACGGCGCGGCACGGCGACGCGCGGCACGGCACGCTTTGGCGGCGCGTGCGGTTGGGCCCGCCCGTGGCTCATCGAAGAGGGCCAGGTGCAGCCCGTCGCCGCTCCCAGGCTGCTTGGCCAAGTACAGGGCGGCGATGGCCCTGGGGTCGGCCAGGCGGTCGACGCCGACCGCCTCCCCGTTCAGCGTGAGGAGCGCAGCGAGCCGTGGAAGGTGCGTCAGCACCAGGGCCTGTGCGCGACCAAAGGCGAGCCCGACACTTATGCCCAGGCGGGTTCCGCAGGGGCGGGGGCCCAACGGCGCGGGCGCAGCGCCGTTCGGGTGACCCGAACGACGCTGCGCTCGTGCCTGGAACCCGCGCCGATGTGAAGCCCGCAGAGGCGTAAGGGTCAGGTTCGCGTGTTTGGTTCCGCGGCCCGTCGGGAGGGGTTGCTGATCTTCTTGGCGACGAAGTTCGCCAAGGCAGGAGGCAGCGCCTTCGTGTCGTCGAAGCCTGGCGGGAAGGGCCAGCGCTGGACGCGCTGGCCCGCCGCCGACGGCTGCGGCATCCGCTCGCCGAGCGTGCGGTAGAAGGGGTTGACCCCAGCGATGGGGAACCCCTCGTGCCAGGCACGCTCCTCCGTGGCGGGCCGCTCCAGGCGAGGACGCATCGTTCGGTTCTGGCACGCACGCACCCCCCCACCCGTCCACCCCGCCACCCAGCCACCCAGCCACCCAGCCACCCACCCACCCAGCCACCCAGCCACCCAGCCACCCAGCCACCCAGCCACCCAGCGCGGTGTGTGGGTGGGGTGGGGTGGGGTGGGTGGGTGGGTGGGTGGGTCAGTGGGTGGGTGGGTGGGTGGGTGGGTAGGTAGTTGGGTGGGTGGGTGGGTGGGTGGGTGGGTGGGTGTCCGTCGCCTCACTATTCAACCTGGGCCACCCATCACGAACCAGATCGAGGGCTCGAAGATCGTCTGATCGAGGAGGAAGAGGACGGAGGATCGTGGGCTCGAGAATCGCGCCCGTGCGGCCCGACAGCATGCCCAAGACGGGGGACGCGCAGCGGCGGCGCTACATTTAAGTCGGGCCTGTCCCTGTGCATGAGGAGTATTCAGGCATTGTAAAAACATGGTCGGGGGATGATTCTTGGAGTATGTTTGAACATTTGGTTTAAAAAAAAGGTATTTTTAATTTTTCGCACAATCCCCCTGTAGAGGGACATGCCCGACCCAAAGCTACCTCCTCCTCTGACGCAGCGCTCCCTGGCCCCACGGCGACAAACCGACGCGATGCAGTCTGGGCGCTGATCTGCCGTTCCTAGGGGCGCCCTTCGGTGCTCCGAGGGGCAGGGCCCCCTCCTCCTGCACCTCCTCCCCCTCCTCCTTCTCCTCCTCCTCCTCCTTCCTTCTCCTCCCCCTCCCCTCCCCTCCTCCCCCTCCCCCTCCCCCTCCCTCCCCCTCCCCCCCCCTCCCCCTCCCCCTCCCTCCTCCCCCTCCCCCATCCTCCCCCTCCCCTCCCCCTCCTCCCCCTCCCTCCCCCTCCTCCTCCTCCTCCTCCTCCTCCTCCTCCTCCTCCTCCTCCTCCTCCTCCTCCCTCTCCTCCTCCTCCTCCTCCTCCTCCTCCTCTCCTCCTCCTCCTCCTCCCTCCTCCCCCCACTCCTCCTCCTCCTCCTCCTCCTCCTCCTCCTCCTCCTCCTCCTCCTCCTCCTCCCCAACAGCAGCCCCTCCTCCCTCCCGTGGCACTGCACAGCGCGGTGTCCCACCACACGTACCGGCCGAGCTGCTGGCACGGCGCGAGGCAGTGGACAATCGAGCTCGGGAGCACGACCAAGAGGCCGAGATGTCTCATCCGCCTCTCGGGTGGCCACCCGCGAACCCTACCCCCCCATCCCCAAGAGTTCGAAGGTGAACATTTTACTCGGCGTTTCGACATTGCGCGGAAGGGGGGGGAGAGAGGGGATCTGGCTCCGGACCTCTGCTTAGTGCGACTGCTTGTACGAGTGCGGCCTCTGGAGGAGACACCACCCGCTCGAAACAGGCGCCAAATAAAAGCCAAGATCTACTCCAGGAGGGGGCAGGGGGGTGGGGGCCAGCGCCGATCGGCAAAACAATAGATAAAAAACGATCACAAAGGGGCGGGAGGCTTCACTCCGCTCGGGAGCTCCCGAACGAAGTGAACCCCCACCGCCTCGTAGAAATCGTGGGGGGGGGGGAGGGCCCACAAGTGGCCCACGAGGCCTCTGATACGCCGTGATCTGGTCGTCGGGGGCGAACTTCTGCCGCCCGGCGACGGCCGTGACCGCCGGCCACCCCCGGGGCGGTGACGGGCCGCTCTAGTGGGGAGGCTGCGCGGGGTCCCGGCTGCGCCAGGCTGGGCCGAACCTTGACTGCGGACGAGACGGGGGGCGGGGTCGCCGTCGTCGTCGTCGTCGTCGTCGTCGTCGTCGTCGTCGTCGTCGTCGTCGTCGTCGTCGTCGTCGTCGTCGTCGTCGTCGTCGTCACCGTCGTCGTCGTGGGCTGGCGCTGGCGAAGCTTTTGACAAGGTGTCGGCAGTCCACGCGGCGAACCCGCGACGACGAGGATCGGGCGAGCGCGGGGCGACCCAGAGCCTTCGGGCTCACGAGGAGGGCTCCCGCCCGAGACGACCTCTCCTGTTCGTCCACGGGCGCACAGACGAGGCTCCCGCTGAACCTTCCCTCCAAACTCAAGCCTCGCGATCCCAAGGGTGACTTCCGAGGCTTCGATGACCCCCCTGTGAGAACCCCATGGGGAGGGGGCTCTCGGTTAAGATTTTTACTCACAGAAGTGGCTCCCGCTCGAAACATCCTCCAGAATCAGGCCTTAGAACCCCCAGAGCTACGACAATTATAAAGTTCCGATGTCCCCCCTCAGATTACAAGCACGATGTGGGACCTCAAAATTAAGAAACGGCTCCCGCTCGAGGCTTCCCCGCAACTCACACAGACGAGGCCCATGCTGTAGACATCCTGAGAGTTCGCTCAGGAATGAGGATCAGGATCGTGATGGTGATGATGATCACGATGCTGACGGTGATGGTAATCGTGCTGAGGATGCTGATGAGTATGATGGCGATGATGATCCCCCCGTGATGATGATGGTGATGGTGATGGTGTTCTTGATGATGATGGTGCTCCTGCTGATACTGCCGATAATGATAATAATGATATTGATGGTGATTGCGATGCTGATGATGCTGATGATGCTGATGCTGCTGATGATGACGATGATGACGATGGTGATGATGATGATGATGATGATGATGATGATGATGATCATGATGATGATGCTGCTGATAATGTTGATGCAAATGATGATGCCTATACTGCTGCTGCTGATTGTGCTGGTGGTGATGATGATGGTGATGATGCTGGTGATGATGATGATGATGATGATGATGATGATGATGATGATGATGATGATGATGATGATGATGCTGATGCTGATGCTGATGCTGATGCTGATGCTGATGCTGATGCTGATGTTGATGCTGCTGATGATGCTGCTGATGACGATGTTGGTGATGATGATGCTGATGATGATAATAACCATGGAGAGAGAGAGAGAGGGGGAGAGAGAGAGAGAGAGAGAGAAAGCGTGATCCACCGCTGCTTTGCTGTGGTAAATTCCCCCACTCTTCCTCCAGAACCCGAGGGTCCCCTCCCCCCGAAAATCCTCCCCTCCCCTGCTCGAATCCCCCCCCACCCCAACCTCCCCCAGCAAAACCCACCCCCCCCACCCCCCCCACCCCACCTCCCGGAAAACAGGGGGGTTACTACCGGTTCGAACCCCCCTCCCCCCCCTGCCAAACCAAGGGGGGCTCACTACCGGCGAACCCCCCCCCCCTCTCGCCGTCGGCAAACGACTCCCGGGTGCCCACCACCGTCCTCACCAACGCCATCACCACTGTCCCCACCACCACCGTCCACACCACCGTCCCACAGTCCCCACTGTCCCCACCACTGTCTCACTGTCCCCTACGTTCCCACCACTGTCCCCATTGTCCCAACTAGTGCCCCCACCACTGGCCAACTGTCCCCACTGTCCCCACCAGTCCCCACCACGATCCCACTCTCTCCACTGTTCCCACCACTGTCTCACTGTTCCTAGTGCCCACCATTGTCCCAATGTCCCCACTGTCCCCACCGCTGTCCCACTGTGCTGTCCCACTGTCCTCACTGTTCCCACCACTGTCCCCACTGTACCACTATCCCATTGACCCACCACCGTCCTCACCACCGCTCCCACCATCGTCCCCACCACCACCGTCCCCACCATTGTCCCACTGTCCCCACCACTGTCCCAACCACCGCCCTCACCACTGTCCCCACCACCAGTCCCCGCCACTGTCGCACTGTCCCAACTGTCCCCACCACTGTCCCACTGTCCCACTGTTGCCACCACTGTCCCCACTGTTCGCACCAGTGCCCCCACTGTTGGCGCACTGTCCCCACTGTCCCCACCACTGTCCCCACCACGGTCCCACTATCCCCACTGTCCCAACTGTCCCAACCACTGTCCCCACTGTGCGCACTGTCCCCACCACTGTCTCACTGTCCCCACTGTCCCCACCGCAATCCCACTGTGCTGTCCCACTGTCCCCACTGTTGCCACCAATGTCACACTGTCCCCACTGTCCCATTATCCCACCACCGTTCTCACCATCGCCCTCACCACTGTCTCCACACCCATCGTCCCCACCACTGTTCCACTGTCCCTGTCCGCACCACCACAATCCCCACCACTGACCCACTGTCCCAACTGTTGCCACCACTGCCCAACTGTCCCCACTGTTCCCACCTCTGTCCTCACTGTCCCCACCAGCGCCCCCACCACTGTCGCACTGTCCCCGCTGTCCCCACCACTGTCCCCACCACGGTCCCACTCTTCCCGCTGTCCCCACTGTCCCCACCACTGTCCCACTGTCCCGATTCCCCACCATCCCCAGAAACGTCCAAACCACTGACCCCGAGGGGGAGTCGTTTGCCAGCGGCGAGGAGGGGGGTCGAACGGGTAGTGACTCCCCTCCTTGTCATGATGGACCGGGGGGGGGGAGGGGTTGGAACCCCCAGTGTCCCCCACCAGTTTTCGAGGGGGGGGGACGGGTTGGAAACCCTCAGTGACCCCCCCCCCCCGGTTTTCTGCCAGCAGCGGCAGAACACGCTCTTTCGATCATGATGGTGATGGTGGTGGTGATGATGATTATAATGGTGGTGGTGATGGAGATGATGGTGATGGTGATGGTGATGATGATGACGATGATAATAAAAAGAGTAGAAATGATAATATCAATAATAGTAATAGTAATAATAATAATCATCATAATCATAATCAGAATACCAATAATAATAACAACAATAACAATAATAATAATGATGATAATATTTGCAATGCTGATAACAATAAAATAAAAACAACAACAGCAATGACAACAATACTAGCATTATTAGTGATGATAATGGAACAAATAAAACTAATAATAATACTACGAATAATAAGAATACAAATAAGTATTATTATTATTCTAATTATACGAACCGTGATACAGATAACAAGACTAACACTAATACTGATAATACTGATAATAATACTAAGAATAGTCATACGAATAATCATACGAATGATAATGATATTATTTATAATAAAAGTAAAACGAATACGAATTACTCCGACGGAAGAACCCCACATAAGAATCCTCTGGGCGAATCTGGAAAAAGCCATCACCGTCGTCCTCGTGGTTGGTGAGGCGTCCTGGCTGTCTCTTCTGCGTATATTTCCTCTCGCCTTGGCGCGGGCCCCCCTTCCACTCCTTACGTTGTCCCCATCCTCGCCCCCCTGTTTGTTCCGCGCCCCGCCACCTCCTCCCCTTCCTGTTGCATGAGCGCGCATGTCGATGTTCCTCGGCGCCGTCGCCGCCACGGCCAGCACAGGCGCGTTCTCTACTGGTCACGTCGCGCAGCCGTTGGGACAACCCCGCGGGCCAGGCTGTCGGGACAACCCCGCGAGCCGTTGGCGCGCAAGACCAAGCCGTTGGGACAACCCCGCGGGCTTCGAGCGAGGCGCAGCCGCGCTCAGGCGGAAGGCAGCACGAAGCCCAGCTCTGCCGCGAGCTGCTTCGCCTCCGCCCTGGACAAAACCGCTCTCTTGTCGAACTCCAGGAGCGCCTTCCGCAGGGACGCCGGCGGCCCGCACTCCAGGAACTCTCGCGGCGGCGGCCGCAGGATCAGCATGTTCCGCATGCACGTGGCGCGGGAGAACATGACGTAGAGGTGCAGCCACCACTGCTCGTCCGACATGCCCGTGCGGCCAGCGTCCTCGTCTCTCGCGCAGTCGATGGTGACGCCCTTGCGCAGCGTCTGGCCCTGCGACAGCGTGGAGGTCAGGTAGGACGCGTGCGTCAGGGTGAACCCCGAGCGGCGCACGCTGTGCGCCCCCGAGCTCTGCCATGTGAACTCCCTTTCGCTGGGCCTGAACATCAGCAAGCTCCGCGCCCGCGCCTCGGCCTGGCCGTCGTCGTCGGCGCCTTCGGCGCCCTGTCGCAGCACCTCGGCGACCTGAGGAGCCCAAAAACTTCCTTGTTGCATCCAAAGTGTGGCCTGGGAACTGCGTTCTGGCAGCGCGAGAACCCAACATTGACGACAGTTACAGGTTTTGGATGACCTGCTCGGATTACCAACATGATCTGCGGGCCCCATAGGGAGGGGGCTCCCGCCTGAGACTTCCTCGCAGTTCACTCACAGACGAGGCTCCCGCCTGAGACTTCCTCCATATTCAGGCTTGAGGAGCCCAAAAGTGACGACAGTTACAGGGTTCCGATGACCCGCTCGGATTACCAACATGATCTGCGGGCCCCATAGGGAGGGGGCTCCCGCCTGAGACTTCTTCACAATTCACTCAAAGACGAGGCTCCCGCCAGAGACTTCCTCCAAATTCAGGCTTGACGAGCCCAAAAGTGACGACAGTTACAGGGTTCCGATGACCCGCTCGGATTACCAACATGATCTGCGGGCCCCATAGGGAGGGGGCTCCCGCCTGAGCCTTCCTCAGAATTCACTCACAGACGAGGCTCCCGCCTGAGACTTCCTCCATATTCAGGCTTGAGGAGCCCAAAAGTGACGACAGTTACAGGGTTCCGATGACCCGCTCGGATTACCAACATGATCTGCGGGCCCCATAGGGAGGGGGCTCCCGCCTGAGACTTCTTCACAATTCACTCAAAGACGAGGCTCCCGCCAGAGACTTCCTCCAAATTCAGGCTTGACGAGCCCAAAAGTGACGACAGTTACAGGGTTCCGATGACCCGCTCGGATTACCA